TGTATACAATAACTTTTTATTTTTATGTTTTTATGTGGTGCTGAGGATCGAAACCAGGGCCTTGCACAAGCAAGGCAAGTGCTCTACCGCTGAGCCATAACCTCAGCCCCTCCCCAGCCCTTTTGACTTTTTATTTTGAGATAGCATCTCGCTAAATTGCTTGGGACCTTGATAAGTTGCTGAGGTTGGCCTCAAACTTAGATCCTCTTGCCCAGCCTTCCAAGTTTCTGGAATTAGAAGTGTATACCACTGAGCCAGGTCAGGACTTTTTAATTTAATGAGAGGTTTGATCTTGTTTAAAAGTCACAGAAGAAGATTAAGGAGAAGCTGAGCATATAGGAGAAATCTTTAGGGTTTGTTGGGACAATTACATGGAGTCAGTTTCAAGTTATTTTAGAGGAATAAGCCTTGTGTTATAGAGAGCAACTTTCCTATTTTAAGAGGAGAGAGACAGGGCTGGGGCATGGCTATAGCTTAGTGGTAGTGTTTGTGTAGCATGTGTGAGACACTTGGCACCACATTAAAAAAAAATAAAGGTTATTGTGTCCACTTACAACTAAAAACAAAAAAATGACAGAGAGAGGATAGATTTGCTGAGTTTCCTGATTATGTGTTTTTTACATTGGAAGATGAAGAAATACCTATCATATGTTGTTTCCTCTCTAGTGTAAGATGAGATTGCTTGTTGAAGGTGAGGTGTAGGACTAGGCAGGGACTGAGTTCAAAGAGAACGAAGATTTGAAATAGTCTTTGTAGAGTAGGAGATCAAGTGGAACAGAAAAATGTTATTGGGGGCCCTTTGAGCTGATATTGTGAATTCAATTTATGAGCCTAATTTTGTGACTATGGCTGCTCCACAAAAAGTGAGCTATTGCATTGAGTAGATAGTTGAGTGGTATTTAATGATGAAACATGGAATCCAAACAGGTTAAGGAGGGAAATTAATAAAGGAAAATGTCGATGGATGGGGGGAAATAGAGATGTTAATGAATTAGCAGCTAGAGGTTTGAAGAGCTTATGGTTGAAAAACTATAGATCAGCTCTAGCAGTCTGTTTTGCTTTTGTAATATCTTGATTGATTCTGTGCTTTTTAAAATAAAAAAAAAATTGGGGTGTGGAGCATGGTGGTATAGGCCTATAATCCCAGCTATTCTCCTATAATCCCAGCTACTTGGGAAGCTGAGGCAGGAGGATGCAAGTTCAAGGTCAGCCTCAGAAATTTAACAAGACTCTACCTGAAAACAAAAAGGGC